TTCGCTTTACCCATACAGGTTCCTACTTACACATGATTTTTTATTACAAGCAGATAATTAATCTAACAAAGAAGGAGCTTATAAATTGATAGAGAGGTCGGATAGTTATTAAACATAAATGCACAAAGGTTACTTCATAAATAACAACAAGAAAGAAACTCATAATGAAACCTATTCTTCAAAACACGTGTAAAAAGCTAGTATATATCAGTATATAGTAATTAAACCTGTGTTTCGTCAGACAAAACAAAATTTTGGACAAAGATTGAAATCCAGCATAGATTTCAGTAAAGAACAAAAGACTAAACAGTTTGGGACATCGATTTCAAGGTCACTGTTCCTTGAAAAGCAACTAACCCTAACTATTTTGTATCGTCAATTATCTAACAGCACAAAAACTGTAGCGCGATACAAATTTATGAATCCTAACGACAGTTAGGAAATCAGGCGTTGAGTTTTTGTATTAAGCCAAAGAAGGGTGGATGGGGTTTCATTTCAATTCAGTGTTATACCTTTCTCTTGAGTATCAAACAGCATTGAATATTAGGTCTAAGATCTGATTCTGATTACTTCTGTCTTTAGAATTCAGACGAAGTGGAGTGTGTTGTGTAGCCATTTTGACAAGTAGCTATATTAGTGTAAGAACGTCAAAATTTGGTTAATCGCTAAGTCCCAAACCACATGACATTAGTTACTACTTTGTAAATCACCTAATTCACTCTTGATGAATGAGTAAAATTTATTGAATACTTATCCACATAAGTCACACTTCAGTAATTACTACCCTGCAAACCTGATCAATAGAAGTTACACATTAAAAAGAACAAGGAATATAACACTAATTACTATTCAGTGACAGGCTGCCAATTTTTTTTCATCGTTTTTTGCTAACTTGGCTCAGTGGTAGGGATTTATCTTGCTTATCGTAGGACCTAAAGGTTCTAGATTAGGATAAAACAGCTTCCCATTATTCCCTAGTTTTACAGCGATAATTCAATCGCCACACGTCTATGATAAAAATCAGCTTCAAGATCCTCAGTTAACATGTGACAAGTAAAAGAAATATGATATCTTCAAATAGAGATCCCAGTATTTCGATATCATTGAACAAAATATTATTATAACTTATCCGACCACTTTGATATATGGATGTATGATAAGCACTTAGTGTTTAATCACATGAAAATTATTCAGATTAAGAAAAATAAAATTTATTATAACAGTAGACTTTGTAACTTAGTTATTAGAATCAATGACCTGAAATGTTCAGAGATGAATTTTAACAAATTCAAATAGCGGACAATTTCAATACTAAACATGAATAATAGTCACAACAGTGATAGTAATTATAAAAACGATTAAGTGCCACTAAGTACACAATTCACAAATATTTTTCATAACTAATCAAGGCACGCATTCAAAATCATTGGACTATCCACATAACCATTGATAGTTTTTTGAACAAAAGGTGGTCATAATAACTAGACAATTTATACGATAATGATACGTAATTTGAGCCAGTAGGTGATCGGTCCAATTATCAGTTAAAGCAACAAGGCTGTTGCTTACGAAATCAAGAGGACGTAAAGCGAATGTCCGGCGCTTAACAGGGTTGATGGATATGGAGGAGCCACCAAGGGGAGTTAGAAAACCCTGATTCCAAACCAATGGTGACCATGGGTTCCAGGATCCTGAGGGAACAAATGGCGTGTGAACCAATTATTGGTCATCAGCTACCATTGGACTGCATCTCTTAACGTTGCTCCATTGTCTTTTTGATCAGACCTTTAGGTCGAAGGTTCCGAATGTACCCGCTTAAGAAAACCACCTGTTTCGAACTGGGCACCACGACAGTATCACAGCCCACACACAAATCAAGTGACCTGTGTGGCGCATATGTACTCAGTGACACATTGTAATAATATTTGTGTTCAAACAAATATAAATAAATAAAAAGGCTGGTACAAATATACCCAAACGACAAACTCCAACTCAAGTGAAATGCACTCTATTTGTATTCCACTGCAAGCTACCAAAAAGGTCTATTTTCTCAACAAAGTTCCTGAATCTAAACTTGTCATCTATGACAACTAGAATTCAAGTATTAATGAGGCAAACTACCAAAAAGGTGTCCACTATAAGAACGTCTTCCTTACACTTATCAATAACGTATTAAGTCATGGATGAGCACTAATGACAAGTCGCAAACTAGGACAAAAAAGAGATAAACAATTATTCCTATTTCCTAATGGTTTTTCTTATTAATAATAACTCAGTGATTAGTGGCGGATGGTTTCTGTATGATGAACTGATCTGCACGAAATACATTCAACCGTACTGTAACCATGCTCATTAGTGAACTACGTAAGGATGGATCCCTGAAGTTCTAATGAAACATGTTGACAGATGGAGGCTAGATATGTCTATAGTGAAAGCCATCGCTAATGGCATTCGATAACTGTCATGTTAAACCACGAATCGACTGAATTTATAAATGCGCACCACTTGGTAGCAACATAGTGGTTTAAAGGTCAGTTGGCAACCCCAAGACCCGAAGGTCATGGGTTCAACTTTCGGGGTACCCATAGGTGAGCACTGCTGAGGTGTTACATAATAGTCTGAAACGTGTCTAGAATTCACTTGCTTTCAGTGGTAACCCAACCAAAGTCCAACGGTGAGAAATCCCACCTGAGAACTAAACCAATCCACAAAAAATCAACTCATTTATCTTTAAGTGAAGAATTGCTATAAAACGTATATCTTACTTGAAGCAAAAGGAAAACCGGTAGGAAGAAATTGATAGGACTTACATACCATCTACCTTTACGAGGTATTTTATCTTAGATTAATCCACAAATTCTCTGGGATAACCGAGTGGCAAAGATTTAATCTACATCAAAATTCCCCCACACAATCATGCGTTAATTGTTTCTCCTAATGAATGGAGCATTATTGCAAGAGTCAAAGACGCACTGTCCCGATTCAGATATTTAACATAATCTTTCCAATTCATGAGTAAGCAGGAAGCATATTCCCGTTTGAGAATAAGGAAACTTTATTAAGCAAACAGCTAATGTTTTAACTATTAATTGGTAGGTTATAAAGTGACCATATGAACCAATGAGTTCAGTCTTACGAACTTTAATCACTACACGTGTTTTAATAACGACCTCACTCCAACTACAAAATGTACTTAACTTTTCTAAACAATTGATGTTTTTGGAAATAGATGGAGAACTAGGGAGATAAACAAGAAAAATATCTATAAATTAAACAAATATTACTGTTTATAAACTAAATATCTCTAGTGAAACTAGAACAATAATCTTAGATATTTAAAATATTTGGGTATTATCGTAGCTGTAAGTAAACAAGCCTTTATGGATACAAGTTATGCATTTAAAATAATAATAAACCATTTTATCGGTGTTCACTTTCCTCGCTATTTATCTATTCTAGGACGAGACGTTCTGTTTACTCAATATAGAAGATTATACAGAATCACTGATCTTGATACGCTTTGTGTTTGTAGCTACTCTTTAAGCTCAATAAATATCGCGTCTGAAATAATTGGTAAGTATGTTTCATTGTACACGGTATACAGAAGGGTTCGAAACTAACTGCCAATAGCTTCCCATCTTATAAGGACGTTAGAAGTTGCGTTCGAATGCACGAAAGGAGGATGAACCTGATTTTTTCATATCACATCCTCTAGTCTACCCCAAAACTGGAAGATTTCAGGAGTTAAAATTTGTTACAACATATGACAACCCACGATGTACTTATTTCCTTATCCATATCCAACATTGAAAGTTTCGATTTTCTTCCAATTAATTCTGCTATCACAAAGGACCAAACCTAAACTACAAAACGATTTAATGGATTTTTTATCAATTAGATTTTGCTCATCGCAGTTCTTACTAGTGGTAGAAATCAAACATAACTTATCTAGCAAATTAATAAATGATAGAGTGAAAACGAAAAAAAACCATTCCAGAAATCATAACACCATCATACATGGCTAAATCAACCCTAAAATACACAATAACGCAATGGTCTACGTTTACTACTTTACGACGGTAAAAACAGGTAAGTCAACCATAGGAAAGTGTTATAATGAGAATAAAAGTACCGGTAAACAAAAGAAAAATGATGGAATAAAAGTATTCAATACTTATGGAGAGATAATGAATTCATCTTCCTCTCTTCAACCTAAGGTAGATTATCTGACAAAGTCGCATTTGGAAACAACATTCGCACAGTACCTTCACTCAGAATTGTTTACCAAAAGAAGACGTTTTGGCCAATTTACACACGACACTAACTATAATATTGTTAATAAATAACCTAAGGAAGCAAAACTATTCTGTGATTACCTAATGTATTTATTGTGAACAACAAAACTAATAATATAGTTACTCAATAACAGGAATCTAAAATACTTATGAATTCTCTACAAAATGTTAATAACCACTGAAATAGAGACATTAAATTCATTACTGGGTTCTTGGACATTTGAGATACGTTCGTGAAAACTTATGAAGTACTGTTACACTTCAACACTTCTGGTGATTTGTTTGAGTTTCTCTCCCAAACGTCAATATATTTTATGCAAATAGTCATACATAAATTCTTTAATTGTTAGCCCTAACATGACTGAAAAGATGTGAACAGTAATGTTTTAGCTCTATATCAGCCTAATAAAATTTACTACCATTATTTCCATACAACTAATCTTATAAAACGACAAATCACAATTATTTGAAACTCGATATCAGTTGCTAAACTTTGAAACTAAAGAATGAAGGAAATAAACGCAATTGGTTTTTACATTCCCCAAGATATTGTAGCGAGTGAAAAAAAGATAAAGGTGAACCTAATATATAGAAAACAGGGTACCAGAGTAAAGTAGTTGTATAGCACATACAAGGTCATGTTTAAGAATAGTGTGCACTAAAATAAATGCATCGATCAACAACTGATATTATTAAGCAACTTACCTCAATTTTGGATGCTTTTTGTTTACTACTATTATTTATCCCAAACATCTCAAAGAGGTACTGTTCATACCTATGAAACAAATTACGAAAGTGCAACAGCTATTTTATCTCAAAATAACATTTGACGTAGCAAAATTTGTCAGACAACCAAATAAAAGAAATACTTTCAAGCAAAACATTGGTTAGCAAACACCTAAATTTAAAACATTTTTATATAGATTCAAATGTCTATATATCAATGTGATTTAAAATAATGATAGATATTTTTTTAATTTTCCCAAGTTGCAACCTCACTCTAAAATCATGATCATTACCATCCTCGTGAATACAAAAGTAGAAGAAAAGTTTTTTGTAGGCACCCTATTTTGACGCTAAAACTAACTACTAATAAATAAAAGCTTGCTTACATAACCAATGACGCCTCAAAATATTCAGAGTTGTCATTAGTATATCATTTGATAAAAGGGCCTCCATAGCAACAGTTCGTGATATATCAATTAGTGAATAACAAACCATACATGTCCAGTTTTCACACGTTTATGACAAGTATAGTGTCATATAAATTTGGATTGCAAGACAAACTGTCTAAAAAACCTCAAGTAACATAATAATGGTAAAAGACTTGAGATAACGTCAAACAGTATAAGGTATATACCATAACTCGACATATCATAGCTGAGAGATCAAACAAAGAAAGCATACAAAAAAACCATTAATAAACATACTTTCTTCGAAATGCATTCATTCCATATCCCAAATAACTTTTAACGTAGAGTTTGTATCGTTGATTTGTAGAAAACCAATTTCTCGTTAAGGAAAATTCCGATACTAAGCTGCTTGGTAGATTATCTGTCGATTGTACTTCATAAGCTATTTGCATACTTGCTCCACCCATGTCAAGCATGCCATTAGTAGGTTGTTTAACAGGCCCTGTGGACAAAACCAGAATTTATAATTTTCAGAGTAGTTAAAAGTATCCTTTCACTTCCTGATAATGACAAATATCAGATAAAAGGTAATAATTATTAATGGAAGGAAGGTTGAATTTGCATAGCTTTATGAACTATAAACTAACAGAATATTCATTGGTTAGAAGTAAGTAGTCGAACTGCGTTATTTTCACCAAGGTTTATCCCAAAGTAGAAACGACTTAAGTAACATTTTAAGCATTTTTAAACAAAATATATTGTAACTCGTCAAATCTGAGACCAGAACACAGTCCTTACCATTATCCCCAGGAAGTAAACGAAACTTTCCAAGTAGGTAATTTACAGAAATCCAACCAAACAAACCTTCTTCTACACCAGATATTGTGTAAGCATGAGATTCTTTAAACTGGAATTTATAAGTGGATTTCACATGACTTCGAACACGCTTCCAAATTGCATCTTGATCCCTGTCAGTACAAGATATAATGATTAATTAAATCAATGCATACGTCTGTGTAAGAAGCCTCATTCCCGCTGTAGCCATAATAAATAATGGGGTGCTAGGTTGACTACTCAGAGGGATATGTGACTCAGCATCGCTCAGCAAAGCAGATATATATTCAGGAATGTCAGATAACTTGTTGGCAAAGCTTGAAAGACCGGGGGTTTTCTTCTTTACCACAGGATTTCCCGATACATCCTTTAAAATTTCCACATCTTCTAAACCACTCAAGGACTCTGCTTTCGTTTGCCATGTGTATACGAACATTCTTGAACCACTGCTGCCTGAAAGAATTCAAGATTTTACTTTCCACTTACCAGCATCAACAATGATAATGTAATTCTGACCAACTGGTGCTGCCTCAAATGTATGCATCTCGAGCAGAATAAAGACTACGGTTATGATGTTTAAATATGTGGATAATGTATGCCAGCTCATAATTTAGTCAAAACCGGCAAAACAATGAAATTTCTTGATATATATACAGTTCCTAGATGTAACACCAGAACCATATTTCTGCTCAACCAATCACCATGCCGACAAGCGACTAATTGCATGACCCGGTAAACGTAACTGATCTAGTTTTTCGTTTCAACCATGAATTAACAAGATTAGGCGAATCAGCAGATTACGATTGACAATCTCGTGATTTTGTTTAATTTTTTTTCGAAATATATCTCCGATTATTCATAATATTCCTGCAGATGTTAATAAGGAATGAATGGATAATCTTTAATATTGGTCAAAATGCGTTGCTCAGTCTGTTCCTTCCAAGCAATCTGTACGTTTCCTAATGATTCCACAAAGCTGGTTAATTAATTTTCTGGCCTTTTGTATGTCGAAAATTTTAGCGAGAATCCCATGAATATGTGTTGACGCTGTACGGCAACTAGTTAATTCTAATGTTACTTTCTTAGCCCGTGAAATTTGTCATTTTACCACCACTTCGCTTAGTACGTTGTGTTTAAAAGTTTCACTGGTGACCATGAGGACTACCTCAGCTTGTTCGAGACCTGATACGAAAAATAATTTGTCTTCGAAATGTAGGCTCTGTTTGGCGAAATAAAGTATTGTCATTAACGTGATTATATGCTGAGAACTAATACCATCGTCGCCAATTCACTTTTAGGCCAGCCATATAATGGAGAAGTAATTTGAGATATTCAATCGTCACATGAATTGTTTAAGGTTGTGAAAGAAAATGGCAGTTACATTACAGGCTACCTTTTATAAATTTTCAGCATCTGGCATAGTCTCTGACTATCTTCATATTTCACCCCGCTAAAGAAAACAGACCAGGTTTAGCTCTTTGATGAAAGACGAAGTGACAAAGATGTGCTATTCAGATTTACTTAAGCTGGTAGAGGACAGTTAACCAGTCCATAAGTAGGCCTACGTAGATAGTACAATCTATCTCAAATCTTGACAAAATCCATTTTTCCGAAGAGTTATACACAATGAAGTCAGCAGAATAAAAAAACTGCCATGTTTTTAATGTTGTAGCGGGAAATAAATCCCTAATATAAATAGCTCTGTAGGTCTTTGGCTTTGGATGCTGACCATTATAGTTTTAATGAACTCACCTAGCTGAAGGCACAATTCCTCGCAGTAGCCAAGGCACAAATGCGCGAATTCAACAGGTACGTAACAACTAGTATGTTTACTAGTGATATTTCGAAACCTTACACTACCCTTAAACGCGGAGATCTAACCGATCGACAATGGTTAGGCCAACTCCTTATTAATATCGACCTGCAACACGGTTCTGTGAAAGACATGTTGCAAAGAATGAGAGAGGTTATCGGCCAAAAAACTTTTGATGATGGCTTATTCAGACAGCTTTTGTTACCTAAGCCTCCTCAACAGGTGCAAGCTGTGCTGGTCTCGTTTCAACAAAACGCTGTAGACGAGCTCGCTGCATCGGCCGACCGCATCTTAGAATCACGAAATCTAATGCCAAGATTTTTCAGTCAAAGAAAAACCTCAAGCAATCCAGAACGACATTACAGAATTATGTCATAAAGTTACACGTTATCTTAAACTTCGCAACGACCATAAACAGCCACAAAACCCACGAAGAAGCACTTCACGTAAGCGATCTGTTTCTAGACCACGAGAGGCGGATAACCCCGACTGGTGCTGGGTTCATAACCTGTGTGGAAAGTCTTCCAGAAATTGAGGAAAACCCTGCAATTTTCCCAACACGAAACCGAGTGACTCGAAAAACAACTCGGGAAACTTCCAAGCCGGCACGCGTTAACGGCAACCGTAGCCGGCGAACATAGCCGTCTGTTATACGTCACAGAGGTGACAACGAGAGTTCGCTGCCTCGTCGATACTGGCGCAGAAGTTAGCGTTCTCCCAGCGAATTCTAACGGCCGGCTTCACGAATCCGTTCCAAACTTACAGGCGGTAAACAGAAAGCCTATTGCTATGTATGGCAAAAGGTACGTTTACCTTAACGTGGGTTTACGCAAACCCATTCACTGGATCTTCGTTGTTGCAGATGTTTCTATGCCAATCATTGGTATAGACCTTCTACAACACCATAATCTAATCATCGATACCCACAAACGGAGGCTAGTAGACGGAAACACTAATTTATCCGTTTGCGTAACTTCCTTCTCTGGTTGTAGATTATCCCCAGTCACAATTTAGCACACGATAGACCCACCTTATCAACCACTACTCGATAAGTATCCTGGAATACACCAAACGCAACCGAAATTACCGTGTGTAACCAGCGACGTTACACATCACATCACGACTACAGGACCACCTGTATTCTTTAAAGCACGACGACTAGCTCCTGAAAAGCTAAGGTTGGCGAAAAACGAGTTCGATCACATGATAGATTTAGGGATCATACGACCATCAAATAGTCCATATGCATCTCCGTCGCACATGGTCTCTAAAAAGGACAGCAACGATTGGCGTCCAACTGGTGACTATCGGTGATTGAATGTGAAAACCATTCCCGATCGTTACCCGTTGCCCCACATTCACGATTTGACATCTACCTTGAAAGGTACAACTTTCTTTTCGGAAATCGACTTCGTTAAAGCCTGTAACCAAATTCCCATGTCCACTGACGACATTCCCCGAAGAGCTATCAATGATTCTTTCGCTCTTTACGAATTTTCGCGCATTCCATTTGGCTTAAGAAATGCTACCCAGACATCCCAGTAGTTAATAGATGACGTTTTTCGAGGTCTCAACTTTGTACATGCGTATGCTGATGACTGCTTGATAGCAAGTCCAGACAGAGAATCCCATTTCCAGCATCTGAACCTTGTTTTCGAGCGGCTGCAAAAACACAGCATTACTGTTAACATTCAGAAATGCTAAATCGGAACCGACTCTATAGATTTCCGAGGGCACATTGTTGGTGTGTAAGGCATCAAACCCCTTAGAAGCAAAGTGGTGGCCATTCTGGATTACCCAGAACCGACCACCATTAAGCAATTAGGCACATTTAAAAGCGTTGTAAGTTTGCGTAGACGGTTCATACCAAACTGCGCGTCACTTATGAAAAAGCTAACAGATCAAATCCGTGGAAATGCGGAATCCATAAATCTGGACGATTCCATGCGACAAGCATTCTCCACAATTAAGGAACCTATCGCTAAGGCAACCATGATCACACATCAGGACACTCAAGCGCACATTAGCATTGCAGTAGACGCATCGGACTCAGTAATTGGAGGAGTCTTACAACAATGGGTTAACAACTCCTGGCAACCTTTGGCATTTTTCTCTAGACGGTTGCTAGACACTGAATCGAATTATGGTACTTTCGGTAGGGACGTCCTAGCTGTGTGTTGTGCCGTACGGTAATTTCAACACTCTATCGAAGGCCGAGATTTCACCCTTTTCACTTATCATGAACCGTATACGTTCTCTTTAAACCCATCTTCACACAAGTACTCCCCTCGAGAGTCTCGACAACTAGACTACATTTTGCAGGTTACTTCAGACATTCAGCACATTTCTGGAGCAAGCAATGTAGTTGCAGACGCCTTATCTCGCATAACGTCCTTGAACAGTTTCCAAGGAATCGACCTTCTTAAACTCGCCGAGCTTCAAAAAGAAGACAGTGATCTTCAGCACGAGTTATCCTCAACAACCCTTAAACTGAGCATTAAACAGATAGGATCAGGTAAGAAAACCTTACTATGTGACACGTCTACAGGTAGTGATCGTCCAATCGTGTCGAAACATAATCGACGCAACGTCTTCAATACGTTGCACAAACTTTCTCATCCAGGTGTTTGTGCTACCATCAAGCTTATAACAGGACGATTTTGCTGGCCTGGTATGAGTAAAGAAGTGAGGAAGTGGGCACGCTCCTGTGTAAGCTGCCAGAAATCTAAGGTTATTAGACACAACGAATGTCCTTTAGGCTCGTTCAAAACTCCTGATGCTCGTTTCGATCATGTTCATCTGAATTTGGTAGGACCTTTAGCAGATTCAAATGGATACTCTTACCTCTTAACCTGCGTAGACCGTGTCACTCGATGTCCAGAAGCAGAACCTATCAATGACATTACTGCTGAAACAGTGGCTCTCGCCTTCGTCGAACGGTGGGTAGCAAACTTCGGCTGCCCTTCAACCATCACTACAGACCGCGGACGTCAGTTCGAATCCGAACTTTTCCGTCGTCTGACCACACTTTTAGGAATCACTCGCTTCCGAACGACCGCCTACCATCCACAAGCAAACGGGTTGGTAGGACGTTTTCACCGACAACTAAAAGTTTCACTACCAGCTGCAAACGTTTCACAGTGGATCGACACTTCCAATCGTCTTACTAGGTATTCGCAATGTAGTAAAAGCTGATATTGAATACGCTACGTCTCAACTCGTTTACGGGACGACACTTAGACTTACAGGAGAATTCGTGGATCCTTCATCTTCTTCATTGAATGTAGATCCAACCTCCTACACGGGCAGACTTACAAACGCCTAGCCCAGCGAATTAAGCCTAGAAAGCTAATCTCAGCCTCTGCAATATGAATCATTACATTTCGAGCACACTGAATTTATACACCAATCAAACAGACCACAACGTAGCATAAAATATAGAATAACATTTGTACAAAATTTGGCCAAATGTGGCTGTGAATGTGTGAGGCAGTGATTAATAGACAGGGCATAATTCAAGAATGGTAGAAAGTATATTAATAGTTCATAGGTTAAAATAAAGCTTATAATAAGAAGAACATGAATATGAATAGTTTATTTATTTAACAATTATACGATAAAAATATACGTTTAGTATTGGTCCATAAAAGGATCCCAAAGTTACTATTCATTATGTTTATCGGGACCTAATAACAATAAGCGACTAATTGCCAAGTAATTTGGCTGCATATGATCATTTAATTAGTCACTAACACCTGTCACCCCTCGTGACGAAGCATGGACCGCCCTCCGGG